AGAGAAATAAATTGCTTATTGATAAAAAATAGCAAAAATCTCATTATGCAGATTAAATATTTGCTAAATAGTCTTCTAATACTTAGTGAGCTCAAGAAAAAGAAATTATCTCTATATAAAAACAATTACTGTATCTTATGCAAAAAAGAAATTCTAGAAGATCTTGACTATCTGATAAGTTGCTCAGTTTATAAGACTTATAGGAGGAAATCGAAAAAGCAATAATAAGAAATATTAGCAAAATCTAATCTAAGGAAGCTAATAGCTCTGATCTTATATCAAAAATTCAAACAATTATCTTTCTAAAGGATAAGAAAAGCTGTTTCTAAAAAAGAAAAGAGCTAATAATTAGACTTGAAGAAAAGAAAATAACAAAAGATATTCAATTACTAGTTTAGAAAAAAGATACTATGAGAATTTGAATAGACAGTATCTTTTTTATTACCAAAAGAAGCTTTGTAAAGATTATATAGAACTAGTGATATGAAAAAGTAATCCTTTAAGAAAAAAGTAAAAGAATTATAATAAAGATAAAAAAAAATAAAGCAGAAAAAAAAATACTGAAAATAAGAACTCAAGCAGATAAAAGAAGGAAAGTATTGCTTGCAAAAAGGAAAAGGGAAAAAAGAAAAAAAAATAAAATAAATAACAGTACTAGTAGAAAGAGTAATTAAAAAAGAAATTAAAGAAAGAGAAATAAGTTAATAGAGTTTTCTTTAATATAGTTAAACAAATTGTTCTAGTTTTTTAATTAATATGACAGATCACATCTGAGTACTCTAGTAGTAGCTAAATAATTTTGAACTTAGTAAGTTAAGTAGATTGTATAATCATATAACTTGGCTAAAGCCTTAGTTAACAACATAATAAAGTTTATGATATAACTGTCAAAGAAAAAAAAAAATTAGTATTAGTAGTTAAAAAAAAAAAAAAAAAAAAAAAAAAAAAAAGCTAATTTATATTAGAAATTATTTAAAGTTCTTTATATATTGTTGTAATTATATTATAGTAAAGAAAAAAAATATATTTGTACTTGTTGCTATTAGTTTTAAAAGATACTAGAATATCATTAGTAATTAATTCTAAAAGTACTTATTTATTAATATAAAAAAAAAAAAAAGCATTAACAAAATTTTCTATATTGTAACTAAATATTTTTAGTTTTAGTAATATTTTATATATTACTTGTATAATTAATATTATAAGCTATAAATAGTTATAAAAGTAGTTTAGAAAATAAATAATATCTTCTAAAATACTATAATACTTTAAACAAAAATAATTAGAATATTTTTTTATATTTTTCTAATATAGAATAAAATAGATAGAAAGTTTTTCAGAAAGTAGTTTAATTTTAACATTTTTTATTACTATAATAGTAAGTTTGTATTTAATACTAATAGTTTTTTGCTATAAGAGATATATTACAAAATAAGAAACTAGTTAATATTTTTTTATACAATATTTATAATATTCTAATTAGAAATTCTTTATTAATAAAATAAATTAGTCAGTTTGTAATTTGGTATATTTGTTTTAGTATTGTTTTTAATAAATAGATATATAAACTTCTAAATAGCTTAAAAATAAAATGATTATATAAAATTATTAAGATGCAGAGTTTAATAAAAAAAATATTGTTTAGAGTTTTTTTTTTGATTTTTAAGTCTTTGTTAAAAGTGATCATGAGCTTGTAATCATATGTTAAAGTCTTTAGAATTAAAAAAAAATAACATATTGTTATTTATATATTATTAGATAATTATATAATTAAATTAAATATAAAATAGATTAGGGTTTAGCAAGATTTATAGTAAAATTTCGCAAAGAATTTTTTTACTTAGAGCTTCAAAAGTAGTTTCATAAGCAAAATTTTGAAATAATTTTATTACAGGTGATTATCACCTGTCGTTATAAATAACTAGAAAATCTAGAAAATCTTAACCTTTCGAAAATATATTTGTAGTACATTTATGAAATTTTGGAATTGATCAATTTGGGACACTGTATTTTATTAAACCACTGATTATCTTATAATCTTTCGAAACCAAGAAAGGCTTCAAAGTTTGGTAAAAAAATGAAGTCTTTTCTAATAAAATTTTTTCGTTTTTTATAATACAGTAATAGAGATCTTTATATAATATAAATTAATTATATTAATCATATCGGATATCGATATATGATACAATTTTTCAAAGATCCCGTGATTTTGATATTTATCGGATCGGATCTAATTTTCAAGTGTTAAAAAGCGTAATTGATTTGGTTGTTAAGCTTGGATTTCGTGGTAAACCAAGTTTACTGTGCATGATATACAGTATATATTTGATACATTCTAATCCGAACACGTAAGAATAAACTTCACTACAGAAGATTTTTTGTTTTACAAAATGACACCCCGTTATAACAACAGTCGTCGTCGTACTCGTTTACAAAGCTCTAGCACTTCTTCTTTGTATGAGACCTTGGAACTTGTCCAGAAGGAAAAAGCAAAGTAATTATTACAGTAAATATACAAAAGTAAATGCAGATACCAAATTTAATATTTTCTTTGAATTATATATAGGCTAGGAAGGGAAGTCCGCAAACTCTCACGTAAAAATCAAGACCTAAATAGAGAGTTGAGGAGGTCAAATGAGGAAAATAGACTGAAAGAAGCTTATATTAATGATATTGAGCAGAAGTTAAAATTATTAGAGGTGATCCGTCAACAACAAGAAGAACGTATTAAGAGTCTTGATAATAAAAAGGAGGTAAATGAATATCGAGAAATGAATGAAGGATCAACTAGTTTTGTGATACTTGAAGATACTTCGAATTAAACGGATATCTGATATTGATCTTTTTTTGCATGTTTTTCACCAAAAGTTCGAAAAAAAATACAAAGCAATTTACTCAAATAATAATTATCACATGTATCTTAAAATAATTTTTTCACAATAATAAGTACTTGTATATATTTTGTAATAAATTTTAATATGGTTGAACCGAAAAAAGAACGAGATTCTTAATAGATTTTCAATACTATTTCAATCTAAGAACCTTAATACCTCTCTAAATGCACCTCTAAAATGTGTTTTCAAATTTCCCGACGATCTATTGTATTTCTCCGACACAAATATACTTCTGAAAGTCATTTCTCCGACACAAATATACTTCTGAAAGTCCACATGATTGCTTATATCTTAGACAGTCAAAGTCTAAATCCTCAACAACTTAAATCTCCGACAAAATTTGGCATGACAAATAAATAAATAAATATATATATTATATATTGTTTTTTTTTACTTCTATACTTTAACTCAAAATGCCTTGCCGGGGATTCTTGTCAGAGTATTTATTTATTGTCGTAAATCTACCTACCAACATATAATATAAAGTACACGAACTTTAACCCTAACCCTAACTCTAAAATATATACAAAAGTATCCAGTTGAATATTTGAGAATTCATTCTATAAATGCACGTATTATATATTGTAATTCTCAGTTTCCGCGTACTAATAAATAGCTATCTATAAATACGCGTCTTTTTTAAATGTAGAGTTTTATCTAATCGTTCATATGGTCCCGGAAATTATGAATCCGAAAATTATTAATAACTCAAAAATTTTACTTATTAACTGCCTTCTGTATACTAATAAAAATTTGGTACAACTTTTTTTAACCCTAATTAATTCTATTTATCTGGTTTAAAGTAATAGTTAAAGTATATGGGTTTAAAAAAAAAAGAATTTTGATTAAGATTAAATTTTGAGATTTCATAGCGCGCAATAGTCGATATTATGTATAGAATATTAATATAATTTTTTTTTCATTTTAGTCTAATAACATTTATATAAATGCCAAATTTGATTCCAAAAAAAATAAAAAGTTTTTGGAGCTTGTTAATATAGAAGAATTTAAGGATTCATTTTACTGAATGCCCATAGAATTCCTTTTTATTAGAGATTGTATATTACTCAGCAGTATGACTTGATAATTAGGTTTGGTTTATGAGAGTTAAAATAAAAATTTAAAGAAACAAATTCAGATCATACTTCAAAATTATTAATAGAGCTAGAAATTTGTATGGTTTATTATTAGGCTACTTGAAATTAAACCTCGTTTAACGTTATTTTTTTAAAAAATTTGCATGGGGGAGGGGGGAAAATTAAACAAACAATAAAATTAAACTAGGTTCAAGTGAACCAAACTTAGGTTCATCGGAACCTAAATCAGGTTGAAGTTGAACCTAAAGATGATTAAC